GCTGTTTCCAGACCATTCCTCAGCCTCCTTCCCAAACTCCCTGCCTCTCTGAAAAATATCCTGGCCCTCTCCATCTGACGTCCTAAGCCGCCATTCACTCCCAGCACACCTTGTTCTGTGGGAAGGTAGTACCGCCTGCCTCATTCTCCAAGGCACTCCTGTAGGCAGTCCTCTTAGAGATTTCACAGTCAGGCAGACAGTCCCCCCAGCACACAGCCACACTCCCCGCCTCAGCCAGCAGATACTAGTCCTGCCTTGCTGGTCTTGTCACTGGTCCTTAAATACTGAAATCCTACCTATCACACCGATCAACCCCAAGAAGTCTAGGGAAGAGGCTGGCTTCTCTGTTTGACCGGCAGAAGAGGGAGGGGCTGGGACCGAAGCCCCATCTACTCTCCCTCCTCCCCAAAGAGGAGCGGAAGGGTGAGCTTTGAGCCTCAGGCCCAGCAGCTCTACCAACCCCAAGGCCCAGCCCAAGCACAAGCTCAAGGGCCCAAGCAGAGCAGATCCTTCCTGCTGCCCTGAGTGACAGGCCAAGCTATGCTCACACTACTGCTGTGAGAGCACCACTTCTGAGGTTTCGGCGCTCCCCTTCACCACCATCAATCCCGCCTGCTGGGGTGCTGAGGATGGAGGGCCATTTACACAGAGTCCTCCGACCAGAGTGGGAGAAAACTCAGTACTAAGATTCAGTACTCACTGAGACGGAACGACTCGTGCTGCAGCAGAGAAGGGCCAGGAGCATCTGGTGTGGTTCCCTGTGTCAAATCGTGGTCCAGACAGGGCCGTCATTTAGCTTGTAAGAGTCTCATCATCAAAAGATCACACCAATAATTTCTAAAAACCAACCGATAATTTGGGGCGTATTAGGATAATGTGATGAATCATTTGCACTTCAACTGTTAACTTAGTAAGCAGTTTTGTAATATATACTCCATGTACATAGAAAATGAAAACAAACTGTAGCTTTGTCTTATATGTTCATTTGGATGCCCTTTCCAGTTGCTAAATGCTTTGAATGTCACCCCTACCTCCTTGCAACCTGAACCACCCAGTTCATGGGTTTACACTTGGCCCTGAGATTACCAATAACCACACTCCACAATCTCAGTCTTTTGCGTCCACTCTTGGACTCCCAGGCCCATCCTTTCAGCTCACTCCCACGAGCCCCTGACTCTAACAACTCTCTGACCCCCACCCTAGCTGCCAATGCATTGACGCCCATCTTTCCTCTGCCCCGTTTACCCAGCTTCGGGCCTGTCCGTTTTCATAATCACTCCCTCCCCTTCTTGCACTCTCCTCACAGACCCCCGTCCTGGTTAAAGGCAACCCTCATACTAGATAAATTGCAGCGGCATGCTTAAATGTGGCCTGAGAAAACCACAAGATCTCAAGAGGGACCTTGAAGCCACCGACATACATACTTCATGTCTCAAGCCTGGTCCATTCTCTCTCCCTTTCTTGTGGAGAAAAAGTTGACTCCCTTCCTCTTTCCTCGAATCTCCAACCCTGCCTCCCCTTCCTAATTCTCAGTTGATGATCCTGCTTCCCATTCCATCAATAAAATAGAAGCAACCAGAAGAGAAGTGTCACAAGTTCCCACCATGTCTACCCACATGTGTCTCCTGCCCTCCTGGTGCAGGGAACAGGCCATCATCCACCCCATCAAAGGCCACCCTTGTACTTGTGTCCTGGACCTCATCCCCCCTCACACTGCTTATACATTGCTCCCTCCTTTTTCTGGGCCAATTCTTTCCTCTACTGGAACATTCTCACCAGCATCACTCGTGTCTTAACATCTCCCCCAACACAAAATAGCCAGCAGGGTGGTAGACATCTCACTGGGAGGTAGAGTTCCCAACAAAGGATGTGGTGGGGGCTCAGGCAGCCAGACCAGCATGTGCAAAGATCCTGTGGTAGGAAGGAGCATGCAAGAAGGGAGGCCCAGATAGCATGTGCACATAGAGGGGAGGACAGACAGAGGCTGCTGAGCTTTCTCCTGAGAGCACGGAGAAGCTGTTGTGTATTTTAAGCTGGAGATGGCCTGATCAGATTGGCATTTTCCAAGGACCAGTTTGATAACTCTGTAGAGAGGGATAAGAGTGGGTGCAAAATGACCAGTGGGGAACTTATTGCAGTCCTCCAGGGAAGCAAGGAAGGTGGTCTGGCAGTGGGTGATATTGTCGATGGAGAGCAATCGATGAGTTTGAGAGATACTGAGAAGCTAATACAGCAGGATGTCATGAACCTGCAGTGAGGAGGAGGAGATGTCAGCGATGATGGCTGGGCTCAAACTTGCACCAGGAAGCAATGGAGAGGTATTCGCTGAGCTAGTTGGTGCCTCCGGAAGACCAGGCTTGAGGGAAAGACCATAGTTCAGGTTTGGACCTGCTGAGCATACGATGCCTTTAAGACATCCACCATGAGACATCAAATAGGCAGTTGACTATCCAGGTCTGGACCTCTTAGGAGAGGTCCGTGCAGCTGATTATTTCACACAGCCTCCCAACAAGCATCTCTTCACCTTTCTTCTGTGCTCAGCACTGTGCTAGGAGCCAACAGTCAGTCCAAAGATGGCTGAGGCACAGGCCTGTGCAGAGGGCAGCCAGGCTGCGTGGGGAGCAGGTGCGGCCATGCACCCTTAGAAGAGGGGTGTGGAGGCTCCGCCTGCGAGCCCTTGGCTTGGGGTTGAGCACTGTCCCCGATCTGGTAGGAGACTTGGGGCATGTCAGGACCATTCTCCGCACCTCACCTCCTGCAGGCTTCCTTATGAAGAAAGATGCCTGGCATAGAGTTGGCGCTGATGAAATATTTGTCAGATTGAATGGAGAGAAAATGAAAGTGCTTTGCAAAATGCTTTTCAAACACACTGATTTGTAATTTTAACACTAGGGAGGATAGTATATCCTCTTAGCAGCTGGTATAAAGACACTTCTCAGGAGAGAAGGGGGTGTGGTTGAAAAGGGGGAGAAGCTGTTGAGGCCTCCTGTTAACCATTTGCACGCCATAAGTGGTTAACACAGAAGTCCCTGCTGTCATGAAGTGGACATGGTTGTATATTCTGTTCTGCGCATCTGTCTTCGTGGAGACTGCATTGCATAGTTCACTCATTGGCTTAGTGACTGTTGGTGGGGCCTACAGGGGTGAGAGGCAGGTTATAGACTTTAAAAAGGTCTATAGACGCAAGCGGCAGACCTTTTTAAATTAAATTTAAAATATCGTGGCAGTTAACTGGTTAATGAACCAAGATGCACCGAGGGCAGGGCAGGTGTGCTCCAGAGGACAGAGAAGCGGGGAGACAACAGGTCCGGGAGAAGGGAGCAAGGAGAGGGACTGCCCAGACACTCAGAAAGGAGACCTACCCTTGAGAGCATTTTGGGTAAAATTCTGTGCTCTTGGGACCCTACAAAGCTTCCGTAAAGTTGCCAGAAATCTCGAAATGCTTTAGGGAATGATTTCTCTTGCAGAAGTCTGGAAAGGAGGTGAATTTGGTACAGAGACAGTGAATGGGAGGTGAGGAGGGTCAACCATATAACAATAGCTAGAAATACATAAAATGCTTATTTCATGTAAGTATACCCGCGTCCTATAGATGCGGGTGTATGTAATGTACACAGGTCTGTGTTACAATGCTTTAAAATTCATAACCAATTTCCACAGCATACAATAAAGCCTTCTTTATGGGATGGGCCGCTCAGAGTTCTCTAGGAAAATAAATTGCTAGCATGTACTGAGGACTTATTAATTAGGTTATATTAGCTACTGTCACAGAAAAATCCCCAATGTCAGTGGCTGAATATAGTCCAAATCCATTTCTCTCTCACAGCAATGCCCTCGAGCACGTTCACTAATGTGCCAGGCGCTGTTCTGAGCACTTTATATATGTCAGCTCATCTAATCCCCATGACTAGCTGCAAAGGCAGAATTCCTATGATCTCTGCTTTCAGGTGAGGAAACTGAGGCATGTCAGTGAGGCTGAACCTGCCTCTCACCCCTGCACCATATCTCACCTCTACACCTTATCTCCCAGCCTCTCACCCCTACACCGTATCTCCCAGCATAGGGGAAGTTAGCCAAAACTTGTCGTTATCTATGCTGGTGCTGGGGACACAGAAGTCCCTGCTGTCATGAAGTGGACATGGTTGTATATTCTGTTCTGCGCATCTGTCTTTGTGGAGACTGCATTGCATAGTTCACTCATTCGCTTAGTGACTGTGGGTGGGGCCCGCTGTGGCATTAGGGTGGGGTTTTCACCGGAGCCAGTTCTCACCTTCTCACTGAGCAAATATTTAGAGTCAAAAGCCCTGATTCCATCATTTCCTGGCACAAGTACTTATTAATTTAGCCTCTCTGAGCCTCAGTTTCTTTATCTGTAAAATGGGGATGAAAATACCCCCTCAGAGGCCTGTGGTAGAGCAGAATGAGTCTAGTCCAAAAGCCTGGCAGAGGGCCCAGCCTCCCCCCACCCACCCCCAACCCCCGTGGGGGCTCACCCGCTGGATTTCAGAGCTGTTGGTGGCCGGGTGCCGTGAATTTCATGCCCTGCAGATGGGATGGCACTTTGCAAGTTTATCCAAAGTGCTGTGGGAATGTTTGTCAGCATCAGTTTAGGGTTTGACTTTTTTGGAAAGCTATTCTCTTTCTCTCCTGCAAATTGTGGGGTGACTGTGGGGGAGCTAGGGCACAGAGGTGACCACACCCGGTTCATCATTCATGGGCTTCCTCTGTGGCAGTCCCCAGCCCCGAATCAAACCTCCACCACCCGCCAAGCTTCAGCTAATCCTCAGAAGCCTCTGTGGACGGCTGGGTTTTGAAGTCTTAGGCCTTAGATCCTCTCTCCAGCACTGTGTGTTTTGATTCACCCAGAGGATGTCCACACAGACAAAGCAATACCTCCCTTCCAGAGTGAGGGAGAGGCTGGGCCAGCTTCAGAAGAGGCCAGTGGTCTGAACCCCAGAAACTATGATGTCTCATGTGTCCTTTCTCCTCTTGTTTTCCAGGGAACTTCAAAGGTCTCTGCAAGCAAATTGATCACTTCCCAGAGGATACAGATTATGAAGCTGACACAGCAGAATATTTCCTCCGTGAGTGCAAGCCATTTCTATCTCCTTCATGGGGATGGGTTCTGCCCTCCAGCCTTTAGAGCAGTGGTTCTATACCTTCCTAATGACGTGACCCTTTAATACAGTTCCTCATGTTGTGGTGACCCCCAATTTCATTGCTACAAATTGAACATAATTAAAGCATAGTGATTAATCACAAAAACAATACGTAATTATATATGTGTTTTCCGATGGTCTTAGGTGACCCCAGTGAAAGGGTCGTTCGACCCCCCCAAAGGGGTCGCAACCCACAGGTTGAGAACCGCTGCTTTAGAGCACAAACACCAGGACTATCTAGAGGTCCCTGTCTCAACAGAGGGCCTGCCTCCTTCCCTCCTGTTCGGAGACCAAACCTTCATGCATGCTGTTCCCTCTGCCTGCAACACCTTACCCTCCCTTCTTTGTCTGACAAACTCCAACTTATCCACCAGGTCTCAGCTGAAACATCACCTGTTCCAGGAAGTCCTCCATGCCCCTGAACAGATTCCCAGAGCACAGCACTTTTATTAAGCTATAGAGTCCTTGTCTGTTTGAGCAACCATCTCCCTCACCGTCCTACCAATGCTACTAGCCAGGGCTCTTCCCATCTTGTTTGCATTATATGTTTAGCCCAGGGCCCTCAGTAAATATTTCTTAAATAACTGAATGAAGACACTCATCAGGCAGTGCCAGATTAGAACTTCTACTGAAACAATGTGAGATTTTTATTTTCTTTCCCCACAAGTCAAGTCAAAGTTAAATCCTGATGTAATAGCTGCGATCTTAAGTCCACCTGACACATATTAGCAAGAGAAAGCCTTTGAGTCCCCCAAAAAAGTTCTCAAGAATCGGCAAAAACTAACAAGATGAAATGTTCCCTGAGAAATGGATTTCCAGGAGAGGGGCTGAGGGTGCTTGACACCCGGGATAGCAAAGCCGCTGAGCAGAAGTGGCTGAAGGCTCTGCTGGGGCTCTTGGGCCTGCCTTCCCACCATCCCTCTCCTCCCAGGAACGCCCCCTCTGCCCCGCTCCACCCCTCCCCTGAGGCAGAGGGGTTAGCATTACTCTCGGATTACTTTTATGAAAAATGTAGGAGGCATTTTATTTTATGGATCACCCATCTCTTTCAATAATTACTCCTCACATCAAAGCCAATCTCAGGTCAGCCTGGAATTGGGTTTCGCTGAGAAGCCACAGAACATGACGTCAGCCAGGCAGCTGGGAAGAGGAAGGAAGGGAACATGATGCAATTTATAGATTTCTTTTTAAATGAGGGAGAATATCTTACAATACTCGTCATTTATTTTTATGAAGTCCTGCAAGACGCTGCTCATAAATGGAATTCCTAAAGGGCCATTTGGTTGTGTTCCCTGTTATCATGTCTGGGGCCCCCGAAGGAGTCTGGCGATAGTGAGAAGGCTGATTGAACACCGCCCATGCACTAACCCTGTGCTCAGGGCTGAGGAGATCGAGAGGAATGAATGAGACAGGCTGTGGCCCTGGGGAGACCACGTGGGAAGGACCTTTAGGGAAATAGCTGGACTGGGAGACGATGCACACAGAGGTGGAAGGGGGCAAAGCTGAGCCCCACAGCACAGCCCCAATGGTCGAGCATGGCTGGATGCCAAGTGCTTGCAGCAGGAACTCTGTCTCATTCTTTGCTGTGCCTTTAACAGCTTCTGGAATATAGTAGATGCTCAATCAATGCTGCTTGTTAAATAAAGGAAAACTAATAGGATTCTTCGGTGACTATCCCTTACCTACTCCATACCTTCGTTTCCTAATTTTTAAAGAGAGAAGAGCTTCAAGTGTTGGGTTCATGCTGGTGTCCCTGGACAAAAGACTTGAACATATATTAGCGGCGCAGGGTCCGAGGGTCTGAGTTGACTAAATCCAACAATATTTTTGAGCATTTATAATAGGAGGTTGGCAAACTTTTTCTGTAAAAGGACAGATAGTAAATACATTAGGCTTTGCAGACTGTACAATCTGTCGCAACTACTCAACTAACCTTGGAGCACAAAAGAGGCAGAGACAAAACGGAAGGAAATGAAACAACTTTATTTACAGAAACAGACAGAGGCTACATGCAGCATAGTTTGCTGACCCTTGACCTATAATATGCTAATCTTGGGCTAGACAAGAAAAGTAATTGTTTGACCTGGAAGATGTGAGTTCCTATCATTCTCTGTTAAGCTCTAACCTGGATGGCTAGAGCATCTAAAAGACAGGGATCATTCTTGAAGGATCCTCTGCCCCAACCTGCATGTCATGATTTGTTACGGATTCTTCTCCCTGCCCCTTGGACCATGAACAGCGACTTCTCTGAGTAGCTGCAAATAGACAGTTCTCTCCACCCCTCACCCAGCTGGAGATGTTTGCTGAATGAGTAAATGAGAACCCACCCTTCCTAGGGCCCCTTGGCACATTCGCCCTCTTCCCAGAATGAGGACAGAGGTGGATGCAGGGTCTCAAGCTGAGTCAAAGCCATCCTTCCCAGCCTCAGAGAACCCCCTCCCTTTCCCCCCTTCTCTGCCCCCCTATGCTGGGCCCACCAGGCACCGAGGGGTCTCCTAGGTACCTCAGCGTGGGAAGTGTGGGGAATACCAGGGGTCAAGGTCTGAGCTTGTGATTTAGAGGGAAAGGACCTGAATTCAAGGTGAGGTCTGCTCTGTGGCCTTGGGCACGTTACACAGCTTCTCTGAGCCTGGATGAATACCAGTCCCCGGGAGGGACTCTGAGGAGCGATGAGACAAAGGCTAGGATGGTGATTTGTTAGAGCGTCCCCGCTGCCCATGGAACATGAGAGAAGTCCATCACCCCGCTTCAGGTTAGAGCAGTGGTCGGCAAACTGCGGCTCGCAAGCCACATGCGGCTCTTTGGCCCCTTCAGTGTGGCTCTTCCACAAAATACCACGTGCGGGCGCGCACATACAGTGCGATTGAAACTTCGTGGCCCATGCGCAGAAGTTGGTATTTTGTGGAAGAGCCGGATTTTGTGGAAGAGCCACACTGAAGGGGCCAAAGAGCCACATGTGGCTCGCGAGCCGCGGTTTGCCGACCACGGGGTTAGAGGATAGAAGCACAGCAATACACCCTCCACGCTCCTGAAATGCTGGAGCCGCACACACAACCCCATCCTCCCATTTTACAGATGAGGAAATACCGAGGCCCAGAGAGGTTAAGTGGCCTACCCCAGCCCTGCACACTACCTGGGATGCCACCTGCCCCCCGGAACGTTAGGCAGGGCCGAGTGCTCCTATCCACTGTCCGAGCCCTGCAGCCCCTTCTAGCAAAACTGTTCCCACCAGAGGTCACCATGGTCAGCGTGGCTAAAACTGTGGTGACCGATCCTTGCAGTTAGGGAACCTGCTCAGCTGCAGCTGGTGCTCACATCCATGCCACCAGAGCCTACGTTTCACAACACGGGGCCTGCCCTCCGCCCGCTGTGCACGCGTGGCAATTTCTATTCGGTCCTTGCCCACGCATTCAGGTTCGGGCTGCAGCCACCGTGCTGACTACACCAGCCAGTCATGAGTCACAACCTGCACTTGAACCAACACCAACCCAGGTAACCGCAGGCCCAGGGGGAATAGCAACAATAAGCTCTACTGCGGGGAGAACCAGCATTTCCCGGTGCTCTCAGTACCAGGCACTGTTCTAACTGCTTAAAGTGCACGTACCCATGACACCACTGCAGCCCTCTGAGCCGGCGTCTGACCCTCTCCCTGAGGCTCAGGGAGGGCAGGCAGCACCGCGAGGGAGACGGTGCAGGCCGCTCTCTCCCGTCCTGCAGCGGGTCACCAGCCCCAGAGACAGCAGGAACTGGGAAGGCTCCCAGGACCTGCACAGATGGTGCTCCCGGAGGACGCTCACTGCACTTCCAAGTTCTGTTCATGTGTCATTACACGCAGCAAACGCTCATTGGATGCCCGGCTGTGTCGGGGCCAGGCCTAGCACTTTATGCATTATCTTCATCCATCTGCACGACCACCCCAAGAGGAAGGTACTGCTGGTGTCCCGTCAGACAGCTGAGGAAGGGGAGGCACGGAGGCCACAAAGACAGGGGAGGCCGGGACGGGACCCAAGCGGCCCACACCTGGAGCCCATGCTCCCAACCTCCACTCTCGGCTTCTCCCTCCTCTCCTCACCCACCACCTTCTTCGTCCTCTTCCTATTTCTCTTTCTCTCCTCTCCAATAACACCTTCTCTCTCTCCCTCCCACCTCCTCACCTTCTCCCTTCCTCTCTCCCCTAATCTCCCTCACACACTCTCTCACACACACACACACTCTCACATACTCTCTCACACTCACATGCACTCACACTCACATACTATCTCACACACATACTCTCACTCACACACTCATATACTCACACACTCACATACACACACATACTCTCACACAAACACTCACATACACACACTCATACTCTCACACACACGCTCACATACACATACTCATACTCTCTCACACCCACACACTCATACACACACACTCTCACACATTCACACACTCACACACTCACACACATGCACTCATACACGCACCCGGCACAGTGTGGAAGGAGGAGAGAGGGAGAGATGCCCAAGAGCCTGGAAGCTCCTCCCAAGCCAGTGTGTCCCCATCCACCCATCACCGAGTCTTAGTCCACCTCTTCAACACTTCTCAACCCAGCTCTGCCCATACCCTCTGTGCCCACCCTGGCCAAGCACCATCACTTGTCTGGCCAGCCACAGTAGCCCTCACTGCAATAGCCCTCTCACTGAATAGCCCTCTCACTGGTTTCCTGTACTCACCTTGGCCCCTTCTTAATCCATGTGTTTTTTTAATCCTCACCTGAGGATATGTATTTTTTAATATCTTTATTGTTGAGAATCCTTGTGTTTCTTAAGATGCAAATCAGAGTGTGACAGTCCTGCCTGCTTTAAGTCCTTTAATGTTGCCCATTGTTCTGGATAAAGGTAAGCTCTGGAGCATGACCCACAAGACCCTGGTGACCCACGAACCAGTGTGGCCTGGCCCCAGTGGCTCCATCTCCCTCAGTGCTTCCCCCGGCCCCTCCACCAGCTCCTAGTGATCCAGCTCCTTTCAGTTCCCTGGACAAGCCCTCGCTCATGCTGCTTCCTCGCCCCGGGACACTCTCCACATCCCGCCTCTATTCTGCCCAATTAGCTTCCCCCTATCCATCAGAGGTCAGCTCCAACATCACTGCCTCTTCTGACCCCCACATGACTCAGAAGAGGCTCTGAGAGGCATGAAAGCAGGGGAGTGCAGTGGTAGGCACACAGAGCCCAGAGGCAGACTGCCTGGGTTCATACACCCAGGTCCCCCATGTCTCTGCTGGGTGGCCTTGGACAAATGGCTACACTCAATGAACATTAGCTTGCCCCATGCCTTCATGGTGCCATACGGCATCTTTATTTCATAACACTGTCCTCGTTGATAACTATTTATCTGTGTTATTATCTGACATATATCTTCGCCATGAGATCTTATAAAGACATGGACCGGGCCTGTTTTGCATTCCTCTGTCTTCATGCCTAGCCTGGAATGAACCTGGCACAGTGGCCAGCACTCAGCCTGTATTTATTCACTGGACTTCCAGTTGTCAAGAGCAATGCATCTCCCTGCTCGAGACCTTGCAGCCTTTATTAGGGTCTCAGCCAGGGGTGGCTGAACTGCAACTAGCAGGCCAAATCTGGCTCACCAACTGTTTTTATACATAAAGTTTTATTAGAACACAACCACACTCGTTTGTTTACATATTGTCTATGGCTATTTTCATGCTACCATAGCAAAGCTGAGTAGTTGCAACAGAGACTGTATGGCCAGCAAAGCCAGAAATACTTATTATCTGTCCCTTTATAGAATAAGTTTGCCACCGCCTGTTTTTGGAAGGTGGAATCTCCTCAAAGCCAAGGCCCATGGTTTCATGGGGCTGGTATGAGGTTTAGATGGGTTAACCCATGGAAAGCACTTGGAAGAGGGAGGGCCTAGCACATAGGAAGAGGTCCCTAAATATTAGTAGCTATTGTGTAGTTCCATAGACTCACAGGTCAATAAATACTTGTTCATGGAGCAAATCAGATATTTTCTGATAGATTTTAGCACTAAGACCACACCAGCTTCAGTGGAAAGTCAAGACAATTCATGGCGAAGTTGTGTCTGGACTGAAGGGGAAGGGGCATCATAAATCACAACAATTCTATCTTTTACTGTATTCCTTGTAGTGTCAGAAACAATGCAGATATTATCCAGTTTAATCCTTATGAACTGTTGTGCGCATACAAGTCTTATTACAAGGGTCTTGTTAACATGTACATTCTGGTTCAGTAGGTAGGTCAGGCGGGGCCTGAGAACCTGCATTTCTAGCCAGCTCCCCATGAGGTCTGTGCTGCTGCTCAGACTACCCTTTGAGCGCAGGGCCTTACAACATACCTGTGAGCTGGATATTATTATTGCTCTTCCCACTTTACGGGATGGGGAAACTGAGACTCCGCAAGGTAAAGACATGTCCAAGGTCACACAGACATTGGAACTTCGGTGAGACTAACTGCATAATCCCCATTCTGACTCACTAGCTGGATGGGCTTGGGCAACTTACTTCACCTCTCTGAACCTCGGTTTTCTCATCTATCAACTGGAGCTAAAAAACACACATGAGGGCTATGATATCATGTATGTTAGGTACCCGCTCAAGACCCAACAAACATTCTCTCTCTCCTGGGTCTTCAAGAAGCTCTCACCAACCCTGTGTGCTTATGAAGATGAGAATGCAGGTAGCTTTGACTGTGCGCATCTGAGCATGCATGTGTGTGTGTGCAGATGTGTGGGCTGAGGCTCAGGTTGGGGATACAGCACCTTATCTTATAAACAACTTGCAGGGAGAGAACACCCAAGTTTGGTGAGCAGGTACTTCCATCCCTGCCTGGGGGCAGAGGGGAAAGAGTGCTGAGAATGCAGAGTAACCCAGCTGCCCCCCACCCCTTGCCCTCTTCCTCTCACCCAGCTAGGGTTCACCCCACACATGCCCACCTGGACACTACCATTCATGAAATGTTTACTGTATGCCCTCAAAGACTTATCTAGGTGCATTTTCAGAATCAACTCATTTAATCCTCACAACAACCTTAGGAGGCAGGCACTATTACCGTCCCCATTTTACAGATGAGGAAACTGAGGCACAGAGAGGTGAGATAATTTACCCAAACTTACACAGCTAATAAATGCTAAAGCCAGATTCAAATCCAGGTCATGTGATTTCCTGGCCACTATAATGTACTGCCTCTCAATGTACCCCAAATACCCCCAAAGAGCAGGGGAAGGACCTAAAAACTTTGCCTAAGGTTGTCAGTGAAGGTTTCACAGACAAGGGAATTTTAAGTTAGGTTTTGATGGATGAATAGAAGTTTCCTGAGTTAAAAAGAACAGGAAAAATACTCTAATAAAAAAGCTTAGTATGTCAAAGTCAGAGGCATGCAATGACATGATATGGGAACTTTGCTGTGGCTGGACAAGAGGGAACACAGGCAGAGGCCAAGTCACACAGGGCCCTACGGGCCTCAAGGGGCACTGGAGTTGGGGCCTGTAGGCAGAGATGAGCCCCTGCAGGGCTGTGAGCTGATATGGGGGTGGTCCTCCCTGGTATTGCTAAGCAACCTCGGCGTGGGTCCTGTGTCCATAACCCCCATTCCTGTGTGCTGCCGTCTCCTCCCTCCGCCATGCTCAGCCTCACAGCCACGTTCCTTCTCTCCCTGACCCTTCATGTTCTGCAGGGGCCGTGAGGGCCTCAAGCATCTTCCCGATCCTGAGTGTGATTCTACTTTTCATGGGTGGACTCTGCATCGCAGCCAGCGAGTTCTACAAGACTCGACACAACATCATCCTGAGTGCTGGCATCTTCTTCGTGTCTGCAGGTAATGACCACTGAGCTAGGCAGGCAGAGCCCAGGCCCGCCAGTGGGGAGAAGGCTGAGGTTTGGGTGCTCACTGGCTGGGAGGACCTGACCAGAGAGGAGAAGAGGGAGGAGAGGAATCTCTGGGCTTTGCAACAGGTCGTATTGAGGGGAAGGCAGGTTGTGCTGGGGCTCCTGCCTGACACCCCTCCTCGCACTGATTCCAGGAATATCCCAGACCCTGTCCCTTAGCCCAATGGCCCACCTTCCTCCCACCTCTTAGAAAAGGGCCCAAATCCCAAAGAGCAGAGGAAGGACCTAAACACTTTGCTGAAGGATGTCAGTGAAGGTTTCACAGACAAGTGAATTTTAAGTTAGGCCCTCCCAGGGTACTGGGCCTACCCTCCGTTGCCCTCTCCCCTCCCTACCCTACCTCAGTGGAAGCAGGCAGGCAACCAAAACCACATTTCTCAGCCCAGTTACATGACAAGTCACATTTGCTTCCCAATTCCAGAAAAAGGACATGGGCTGTAGCATGAGCCACTTAATAAGAATGACTAGCGTTTAAGTAGCATTTACCAAGTCCCAGACTCTCACAGCTTCCATACGTATCAATTCACTTAATCCTCTCCATGGCCATACAAGGCAAGTCCTATCATTATCCCCATCCCACAGGCCTGGAAACTCAGACCAAGGTTACCTGGCCAAAGGCTTTGAATCCAGGCAGTCTGGTTCCAGGCACCAGTCCTAACCCCCTGCCACACCAGCTTCAAATCCCAGGGCAGCCTTGAGCAAGTTACCTAACTTCTCTGTGATCCAGTTCCTCCTTTACAAACCCCTGGAAAAGCACTTAGCAGTGAAGGCAGGTGGTAAATGCTCAATAAACAATGTCTATTATTATTATTGTTACTCAGTAATACTCAAATGCCTCTCCTCTCCCTCCTCCATATCTGCTTCCATTAGTTCTTTCCTTTGTAGCTCCCTCCAAATGAAATGATAAAGGTGATGCTTTCCAACATCCCTGTATGCTCGCCTATCCATGCACTGTGAAAATGAAGGCCCATCCAACTGTCCCTGCCCCCCCCCGCCTTTTTTAAATGTTTTTATTTATTTTAGAGAGAGAGGAATGGAGAGGGAGAGAGAGAGAGAAAAAAAAATCCATTGCCTGACTCCTGCACACCCCCTACGGGGGATCCAGCCCTTAACCCAGGCATGTGCCCTGACAGGGAATCCAACCAGCAACCTTTGTGCACAGGGAGGTGCTCAACCAATTGAGCCACACCAGCCAGGGCAACCGTCCATGTCCTTTAATCCTGCTCAAGTGCCTGGCATTCTGCTTGGAAATTAACATCCTTCTCTCTGATTCTGCCCCGCCCCCTCCGTGTCCACCCTGTGCCCCACAGGTCTGAGTAACATCATTGGCATCATAGTGTACATATCTGCCAATGCCGGAGACCCCTCCAAGAGCGACTCCAAAAAGAATAGTTACTCGTATGGCTGGTCCTTCTACTTCGGGGCCCTGTCCTTCATCATTGCCGAGATGGTCGGTGTGCTGGCCGTGCACATGTTTATCGACCGGCACAAACAGCTGCGGGCCACGGCCCGCGCCACGGACTACCTCCAGGCCTCCGCCATCACCCGCATCCCCAGCTACCGCTACCGCTATCAGCGCCGCAGCCGCTCCAGCTCCCGCTCCACCGAGCCCTCACACTCCAGGGACGCCTCCCCCGTGGGCCTCAAGGGCTTCAACACCTTGCCGTCCACGGAGATCTCTATGTACACCCTCAGCAGGGACCCCCTGAAGGCCACCACCACGCCCACCGCCACCTACAACTCCGACAGGGATAACAGCTTCCTCCAAGTTCACAACTGTATCCAGAAGGAAAACAAAGACTCTCTCCACTCGAACACAGCCAACCGCCGGACCACCCCCGTATGAAGCCACGGGGCCCTCGCTAGCGCCTGCCCTGCCGGGTCCCAGGCAGAGCCCAAGAGTGGGGGCACGGCCCGGCCTGTGGGGTGGGCCTGGGGGTAGGGGGAGGGTGGGGGAAACCAAACCATCCACTGGGGGGGAAAACCTTCCCAAAGCAAAAAAAAAAACAAAAAAAAAAAACAAAAAAAAGAGAAAAACATAAGTAAATTTTAAAAAAAAGAACAAAATATAAGAGGAACAAAGAAGCCAAACAACAGAAAATGTGAAAAACACATTAACGAGGGAAGAAAAAACAAACTTTAAAAACAGCGAGAGGATAAAAATTAAAAATAGAAAATAAATCTAAAAGAAAATGCATGATTTCCCATGTACCATTATTTTAACATTTAATAAAAACCAATTTAAATGAAAAAAATAAAAGGGAACTAAGATAACATTAAAGCAAAAAATTGAGAAGGAACAGAAAGGAAGGGAGATGTTCTTTGCATTTAATCAGGGCTTTATGTTACTTGCTTGTTTGTTTTTTTTAAGCTCTGGGAGAGTTACTTTTCTGTTCCCTTTAACCCCAAGAGGGCTCTGCCTCCCTGGGTGAGTGGGGGTGGAGACTCAGAGGCCCCGGGGCCAGGTGAGCCTCTTGGTCACTGCCAGGTCCCTGGAGCCTCTGGATGGGTGCCCCAGGAATGCTGGGCAAGCTCCTGGCTTGCGAGTCCACTCCACCCAGCATCAATGGAGCAGTTATAGGCCTCCAGGTGACCCAAGAGTCCTTGGTCCCTCCTGTCCGAAAGGTGCCTGGAGGGGGGCGCACTTGGGGCTTGCCCAGCCCCCAGGTTCCCAGTCCTTAATGGTCCTTAACCCACTGTGATGACTTCCTAGGCCTTGAGGGAAAGGAAGGAGAGGGATGGCTGCCGGCGGCTTGCTGAGATGCCCAGAAACCCCGGAATCCTCAGGGTGAGCCTCTTGGGGTCAAAACCCCAAGATCCTGTCCTTGGGGGCAGGAAATCCCACCCCCACCCCCGGGGATATAAAGCAGCTCTCCCTCCTCACCCCTCACCTCAGGGCCATCCAATGACCCTGGGGCGATGGTGGACCCCCAGACTCATAGGCCCGCAGTCCCCTGGGAAGGGGGCTCACTGACCCTTTGGGGGTCCTTGGACTCACTGAAGCCCCCTTGGGGTTCAGTGGGTCCAACAATGAAATTGCAAAAAGGTTTCTTTTTACAAAAGAAAAAGGAAAAACAAGTGGTGATTTTTTTTTTAATAAAAAAAACCACAGACTATAAATAAATGTAAATATATAATACGTGGATTTACTCGAAAGAAAATCAGATAGTATTTTTCTTTTAATTCTTTTCCAGCTTTAAACTGTGAAAACAAAAAAAATGGGGTGGGTGGGGGACTTAAAATTTAGCAGGGAACTTGTAAAGAGAAAAACAAAACAAATATACAAATCCATTTTTTAAAAAATACTATTGTGAGAGATTAGAGCTGGGCTTAAAGCAGGAGGGAGAGACAAAAGGCCCTAGGGAGCTGCAGGGAGTTCCTGTCACGAAAGATCTCTTCCTTAGACCAGGAAGGCGCTGCTACTGTCGGAGAGAGAGAGAGAACCACGATGGAGAATCCTCTCTTCATGAAGGAGATCGCACAACACACACACACACACACACACACACACAGTCCTTGAAGCCCAGGGCTAGAATCACTCACAGGGATACACATGCCATCTAAACCCTTCCATCCCCATACACAGGCAGAGGGAGGGTCCAGAGAAGATGACTCATGCCCTCCAAAGCCATGGACAGCAGCTCCACACTGGCATGTATGCTCACAGTGCCCTCCCACCACACACATGCACATCACTTGCATGCATGGAAAGGGCACCAGTCTAGAATCCAGCTTTGAATTCTGAAAACCCTTGCTGTGTGGCCTCTCTGGGCCTCAGTTTCCCCTGTGTAATAAGCATGTGGATTGACCCAGATGAGCTCCAAAGGCTCATTCTTATTCTTGGCGCTGATGACTTTTAAAAAGATATGCCACCTGCCCAGAGGAAGATGCCAGAGACAACCAAAATAGCTGCCATCCAGCCCTAAAACATTGAGAACATTTCTGAATTATCGGTCAGCTGTTCAGACACACACACACACACACACACACACACACACACACACACCATATGCCTCCTCACTGTGCTCCCAACCCCCTGCCCCCACATCCAACGTCAAAGCAAAAATTACACACACGTGAGCAAACGTATCCTGCCATTCAGACAGAGAGGGAAAGGGCACCAGAGGTCCCCAAAGCCACTCTTCATTCTGTGTCCCCTTTAATGCCATAACCCAGTCACAGAAAGGGGAGGGGGCTTCCTTGTGAGAAGACATCAGCCACCATGCTTCCCCCACTGTCTTCAGGGGTCAGAGAAAAACAGGATCCTCCAAGGCTTGCTGGGAGTGGTGGAGGCCAGGAGATGCAGAGGAGAGCTTTATGAAGTTTGGTCCCAGGGTGAGGACCAACCTCAAAAGTTAAACTTACACCACAGACTAAAGTCTGCAGCATCCCGGGTTGCTCCCCTTTCTTCCCAGACGGACAGGGGCCAGTTCAGACCGAGAGAAACCCAACAGCTTTGTAAAGCTTGGATTTCAGCCCAGCCTGCTGGAGGTGGGGGGCCCTGCTGCCCACATCTGCATGTCTCAGTTTGCCTCTTTCTTGACACTGCCCTGGCCTGAAGTTTCTTAAGGTGAGCTCTGGGAGTTGAGGGGAGTGGCTAGCAAGGTTTTTGGGGTTTCCACACTCCCAGCTCCCCTTCCCACCTTTTGTCTGGGAAAGGAAAGCTCTGTTCTTAGGTCAGAAGCATCTGGAACCCTAAATTCCGCCTGAACCACAAGGCAGATCTGCCGGCCCAACCCAGCAGTTCCCGGGAGGCCCCCGGGCCCCAGGGCAGAGCAATGGGGGCCAGTACCAGGTGTGGCAACCACCCAGTGTTTCCAGTCTGGGCAGAAATCACGACCTCTCCCTCCCCACTCCAACCTGGCCCTCCACCCCACCAGATTCCACACCGGAAAGGCTCGAGGACTGGAGAGAAGGGTGAGGCCCACCAACGACAATGAACGAGCCGGCGCTGTCCGGAGAGGACGGCTGGCTCCAATTTGTTGTGGCCGAGTGTCCGGGACGGAAATCAGTGCTTCTCTCCGGGCCGGGAGGCCGGGGTCCTGGGTCCTCTGGAAGAAGGCCATTGGGTGTGGGTGAACCCAGCTGGGCTGAGAAAGGGCTGGGGGCCCAGAGGGAAGAAGCCAGGACTGGGATGGCAAGGGCACTGCTTGCCAGGGTGGATGATTGCTCATGTCCAGCTCAAACCAGTTCAAGAAACCAACCTCCATTTTATTTTCTTGGTGGGTCCTTTTTTTTTTCCAGACTGTTAACAGAAAAAAATTTTAAAAAGCAGAAAACTAAAAAAAGAAAAAAAATCCTGGTACATGAAATAAAGATTTTTTTTATAGCTTGGTCCTCACTTCGGTGGATTTCTTTCATTGCTTTCTCAACTCCTAGCATCCCATTTCAAACAATCGCAAAGGCAGAGATTCTCAGAGATGAGGGACGGGAGGCTGAGAAGCCATGCAGTAGTGTCCCCACGGGAGTGTCAGGGGATGAGTCCTTTCATAAATATCCCTTGCCGATACTTGCACTCCTCCATGACAGGGGCTCACCCCAGCCCCTGCTGGACAGCACTCACTGGTGAAAGTCTCCTCTGCACAATGAATTGCAATCCACTCTTCCTTGGAATCCAGCAACGCTGAATGAGTTCCTTCCCTTTGCAGCACAACAGTTCCTCAGAAGATTGTGAGTGTGATGTCCTTGAGTTCTCTGCCTAAAATAAACCAGTGACAGTCCAGGGTTTCAATTTTCCCCAGGAAAGGGTGCAGCCTGGAGTGGACACAGTACTCAGAGGGACACAAAACACAGTCCCCTCCAAGACGAATGGGAGGATTTTGGAAGGGGCCCTGGGACTCTCCTGACGTGAAGAGATGGGAAAGGCAAGATGGGGTGTGTTCTATTTGGCTCAGGCTGCTATAACAAAACACCACCGGCTGCATGGCTTAAACATTAGACATTTATTTCTGCAGTTCTGAAGGCTGGGAAGTCAGTCTAACATCAAGGTGCCAAAGGATAGGCTTCTGGTGAGAACTCTCGTCCTGGCTGGCAGATGGCGCCTTGTCTCGGAGAGAGGAGTTCTGGTCTTCCTCTCTCTTCTTATAAGAACACCAATCCCCTCACGGAGTCCCACCCTCGTGACCTCATTTAACTACATCTCCCAAAGGCCCCACCTCTAAATACTACCACATTGGGAGTTAGGGCTCCAACATATGTATTTTGGGGGGAACACAGAAATTCAGGCCATAACAGGATGCTAACAGGAGAATTTGATCCCCTTGACAGTGAAGAAAGGCCCCATTGAAGGCAGCCAAACAGCTATCCCCCCACCGTCCAGCCCTATTTGAAGGATGGCTGTACATGCCTTCCAAAGGCATTAAACACATTTAATTTAGTTCATTTTAACTTTAAAAAACTGTCATACACTTAAGATGGGAGGAAGGTATTTAAAAATCAAATCAAGACTTTAAAAGCAAACAGAAAAGTACTTGTCTGTTGGAAAATTGTACCTCTTTGCCCACCTTCCCATCACCACCCTTACTGAACTTATTATCCTTGACTCAGAGATGAGGTATAAACTCACAACCAATCCATGAGAAATAGGAAAAAGAAAAGCTGACCAAAGCCAGTTTAAAATGAAAACATGATGATAAATTGCTCTGAAAAGAGAAAAAAAAAGCTTCATTTTATCCTACTGATATCTCTCATCATAGATTTTTTTAAAAGCATGGAGGTCTCATTCACTACAGAAGCTGGGATTCACTGGCCTGAGTATTTTAATATTTTCATTTGAAGAGGCTGAAGGTGATCCACGTCACCTTCAAAACAGCCACAGTAATACACCGCGAGGGGGATGGGGAAAGTCCCAGAGGTCATGGCCCAGGTCCTGACAGACCAGGGCTGCAGCACGGGTCTCTAGGAGGGAAGACACTGTCTCCATGTGGGGGAGGAAGCCTGTCACTGTGCAGC